AAAAAAAAATAATCTTACTGACCCCAAACATTTGAACAGCAGTGTATATTTTATTATCGATATTCAGATGTGTTTTGCCTAATTAGCAAAAATATCTGAATATTGACTATGTAACACTTGTATTTAATGCTTCTTACATACTACTAATTCATTCCCAATATTGTTTCCTTTTGAAAAAGGAAATGCACCATTAACTGTTCATGGGTGTTTTCAGAATCTGACAGTGTAATCAATCCAACAGACTGATGAAGTCATAACAATGCATCTTTTATCATTTAATCAAACTGGGTGTTTTTATTGCAGTGATTCTCAGCTGGACTGTGAGCCAAAAATTAATCAAAGGTCTGTTCGTAAAGGGTCACAGTGAACTATAAATATGCATATAAGAGAAGAAGCAGCATACTTACATTTTTTGTTGTTGTTTAAAGGCTGTGTGTTCATTTACAATCACAATAGGATCTACACAAATTAGGGAGATGCCAGCGTGGGCAGGTTGCGAGACATGCTGTCATTCTCATGAAAAATAAACATGCCTTTCAGCATCATTCACATTTCATTTCTTTCTTTCTATCACTAATAGGATGCACACACAGCTATGTCAGTAGCCATGAAGGCTTCCCACTCTGAGATTGTTGAACTTCTGAAAGCTCGTGCTGATCCAGCCACGTTCACAGATCCTACAGCTCCGCTCTGAGTCCAAAGGCCTTGTCTTCATGTCCAACTGGTTCTGCCAGATTCATCATTCAACTGCCTCAACCTGACTCGCTGACCAGGCCAGCAGTCAACAATAGAGAGACAGCACTTACCAGTAATTTGCAGATTCTCTGTTTGAGAAATGGCCAATGAGAAATGTACTTCCGTATGTCAATCAAAGATGCCATGGAATGTGGGCTTCCCTAAACTCCCGAGAAGGTCCCCATTTGTCCTGAAGCACAGCTACTGTAGCTATTTAACAGACATGGTACATTGTTACATGTTTTGGCCTTCTATTTTCAGGTAATGTGACTATATTTTTGTTAGGCAATAAAGCGTAATCTACGAATGTTATTACAGAAGTGATCAAATACACACAGTTTATTTTTTATTGCACTTTTCTGTAATATTTCCCCCGGGATGTATCCAAGGCCTGTCTTATTATTACCTGATGTGTCTTCCTATATGAGGGTTTTTGGGTCAGGTCCAGTACCGAACCATTCCTTGTATTTACAGGTGGAACAGGGAAAGGAGTTTTACAGTCACACAGTTGTGTTGCCAGTATGTCTCCCATAGTATCTTTAAACCCCAAGAAAGAGCCAAGCACTGAAAAAGAAAAGAAAAAAACTTAAATTGTGATTTACAGTAGAAGCTTGCTTTAATTATTTAATTGCTTCAAGGAATAGTTCACCCAAAAATGAAAATTTGCTGACAATGTACTCATCTTCAGGCCATCCAAGATGTAGATCAGTTTGTTTTCTTCATTGGAACAGATTTGGAGAAATTTAGCATTACATTACT